TGCAACGATAGCTGAGATAATTGGAACAGAAGTGATTGGTTTAACCCAAAAAGTGCATTTCAAAGGTATTTGAGCCTGTGTAAAAAGTTGCATAAATCATCGACGAAGTAATAACAATTTAAATTGTCTTCTCGAAGATAATTATAATGCAATTTCGGCAACTAACTGTCTTTCAACTCACCACGGTGTTTCGAAATATAAAAAACTTCCGTAAAACAGTTGTAAATTCTGGCAACTACAGTAGAACTTTGTTAATCCGCACTTAGATTGTTGGAAGTTTTCATCGGTTAAATTTTATGGAGCCCCTATTTTTCTTAATTTTTTGTACTTTGAACGATGCTTAAGGAGGCCAAGCTCAATGTGTATTTTCAAATTGGGTCGAGATCGGTCAAGTAGTTTTTGAGATACGCATATATGATATAAATAAGTGGGCGGTGCCACGCCCATTTTCCTAAAATTTTATGAAAGATAAATTTTTTGCTTCGGGGCCATTGTATAACTATATAAATTTTGAGTAAATATTGATGAACTCCTTAGCCACACTGCTCAAAAAATATGCACGTCCGGTACATACAAAAAAATAAATTCAAGGCCTTATTTTTGTTTAAATTGCTTAACTTCGACAAGTTTTATGCAATTGCATTGGATGAGATATCAATTTATTCGAAAATAAACGTTCTTTTAGATAAATACCGAATATTTGGCTACTTTCATACAAATTTTTCAAATTGGCGATGATCAAAGTTCAAAAAATGAATAAAAATAGGGGCTCATTAAAATTTAACCGATGAAACCTCCCAACGAGTCAAGTCTAACAATATATTGTTATACATCGTTTTAAAGGTCTATCAATCAACTTTCTTGTTGGATAAGATAAATGCATCAAGTATGAAAGCAATGGGTTGTCTGGTATGAAAAAAAATTGAGGGTTCAGGAACTATACGGGACCTATATTCATATTGTACTCGACCATACCTACAGGCTACACTAGGTTTTGCTTCGGGTGTATTTCATGACTTTTTTTAGCACCGTGTAATAGATTGGCGCTTACACAATATGTTAGTGTTTGGCCGAGCTTCTCCTCCGATTTGTGGCGTGCGCCTTGATGCTGTCGCACAAAGAGGAGGGACCTACAGTTTTACGTCGACTCCGAACGGTGATTGTATTTTTGTGATGTATTTTGTATTTTTTTTTATGTTTTTAATGGCAGATATACACTCAGAGGTTTGCACACTTCTAATCACTGCACCACACTACGGCCTACTTACGACACCAATATTCAAAGGCATTTTTTTTTTGAATTTTTTTATCGATATTTGGGATTTCGATTTTAATGGGTACGTGATATTTTTATAGCGATACTTTAAATTAGCACCATATCGATACTGTCGTTTCGATATCGTGTCCCTACGTGAGTGTCATAAAGTACTTGTGTCTCCATGAATTGGGTATAAAAAATTAATTATTCGCGGGCTCGTCGTTTGCGCAACGCTTAAAGCCTGATTATGGCAACTTAACTTAACTTAACGGAACGTAGAACTTAGAGAATCAAAATGAAACAGATTTCGATGTGGCATTAAGTTACGTTAAGTTTCGGCTGTTCAATTGTAAGCAACACTCATTTAAGAGAATTTTTAAGAGAGTGCCGTAAGTTACGTTAAGTTGCCATAATCAGACCATTACACTCGTTCAAAACATTTATAAATATTACTGTCGCACAGGTGTCGTATATGTATGTATGCATGTTTCTTTAAGTACATATGTATGTGTGTACGTACATACGTAATTGATGTACGTATGTACATAGCTGACGCATCAGCATGTTTGCCCGAGACTGATTTTTTTATGGAGCGCAGCCTCATTACGTACATATGTACATATTTACATACTAGTATTCAATTTTATACGAGCACATTTCATTGCACTTGCTTATGCTGCAACCAGCTAATTGTGATTTGTAAACAAAGTGAGCTCGAAGGTTTTCCGCGATCGGGTCGTGTACTTTATTTGGCGCAGTGTCACAACAATTTAGAATTAGACAACATCTTTGTTGGATGTGTAGAAGTGTATTCTCATATATATATGACTCTTTTTAACCAATCACTTTTTCAAAATAACTTGTACACAGCGCCACCTATCAGAAAATAAAATGCAATCCCGCTTTCAAACAAAAATATAATTAAAATCGAGTCGCCCCATATCTTATGGTTTTCTTATTTACTAAATACTCGAATTTTTTAAATAACACTCCTATGCCACAAATTCATTTAAAAAAAAATCATAATATTATCATAACAAAAACTCCGATATGTATGTATGTTTATGTGAATATTTTATTGCTTCTCGTGTTAAAATCAAATTTTTACTTTAGTTTAATGTAGAGAATATCCACCTACATTTTCTGAAGCCGATACACAACATTTTATTTTGCAATTATCAACCCAAACACGGTGAGAGAAAATTTGTTAACGGTAGGCAGAGAAAGCTTACGGAGACAGACCATAGGGAGATGAGTGTTAGCTGAGTGGGTTTCCTTGGGTATGCGAGGGAAAGGTTTTAGTCGTGGGGGAGCCTTCATATGCCGGACCTATATTTGGTAAATAGGGGTCGAGTCTAGATAGGTACGAGTTTAGTCAACAGCATACAAATTCCCCAAAGAGTTTTTGAGGAGTGTTGTTGGAGTGACAGTCCTTGGCCAAATATAAATCTGGTTTGTTCCGGTTACGTAGACCCGACTGTCGTCGGAACGACAGCAGTATCGTCGTCGGGTACGGTGGTAACTTATGGAATGGTTTGAATATCGTTTTTAAGTCTACGGAGGTGCCCTCTGAAATGCCCGAATGGAAAGGCTCTGTTTCCAGTACAGTTCCTGTTCTTGCTAAGCTTTTAATTCTGGGCTCTGACTGGTAGCACCGAGGCCTCGCTGTGCAGGTGGTGTTCAAGCATCGTCAGAAGTTGTGCAGCTTATGTTCGGAGTGTGACATGTCTTTAATTTCGTCCACTGCGTCCTATTAGTCCCCTTTCAACATAATTTAGAACCGACGGTACAATTTCCTTGTATCATGCCAACAACGCATCTTTGCCAACACGTGCTGCGAGCGAGTGAATTGATGGCTCGATTACGGTTCTGTACTTTGTTGGCGATTGCGTTTGTGTGTGCGGAGAATGAGAGCGAGTTGTCACTGATAACCTCCAAAAAATTTTAGAGTCATTCACTGTCGGAATTAGTATGTCGTCGACGTGGATGCGCAATTGCAGCTTGACCTCTCCATTCAGCTGGTAAAATGGGTCGCCTTTGATTTCGTGGAGGAGAGGGTTACACTCCGCAAGAAAAATCGGCAGGATAGTCGTTTAACTTCAAACACAGGTAATCAATTCCATTGGCGTGCGCCAATATCGAGAATTGCCGGCGAAATAGATCAGATAAACTGCCTCCGGGGGCGTTAAGAAGCTTCGAAATATAAAAAATTAAACAGTAGCGGGGTAAGGGCACCGCCCTGTGTGGCCTTTCGTTTAATCCCTTTTGACTTTGAGGTTTGATCTGGAAAAATTACTGAGCATTGTCGACTACTCAGGCGATTTGATGTCCACCCTTTTAGTCTTTGTGGCAGAGAGGATGCCTCGTTTTTCTTCAATAGCGTGAAATAGCAAACGTTGTAAAACGTCTTTGATAAGTCTAGCGCTACCAGCGAGTCACCTAGGCATTTAAGGTATTAAGTGCAGTGGTGCTGTTGTGCACTTTACGGAAACCATGCTGATGCTTCGTTGTTTCCTTGACTTCCACATACCGATTGAGGAGTAACTAAGTCCTCTTTCAGACACGTCAAGTCTTATTTATTTATTTATTTATTTATTTAGTCTACAGAAAAATGTTTTCTTACAGACAGTTGAGATAAAAAGATTTAGAATATTTAAGTATGTGTGATACATTACAGAGTGAAATAATTATAAATATTAACTTGTAAAGATAACAATGATATTCAATAGCAATTTGGGTAGCTGGCGAGGCCTTGTCTCCAGTCTACTTTTGTGTGCGGCGGGCGGAAAGACCTAGTTTCCGCTCCGCCCTGTTTACAGGCCGTTGATCATGGTCGGAAAGGCCGAGCTTCCGATCCATGTTCCCGTAGTCGTTACTTTGTAAGTGAGGCAGGCGGAAAGTCCTAGTTTCCGCTCCACGCTATAGACGAACTGTTGGGCGAGGTCGGAAAGGCCGAGTTTCCGATCCCTGCTCCTATTGTCCTACGCGGTCGCGGAAATATACGAAGCCGTTACAATTGTACTAAGCAGTCATAGATATTGTGTAATTTTTCCGTTCACGGTTGCAGATATTAGTTTATTTAGTTAACTTGTTGAGCAATGTTTTCTTTATTTCTTGAAAGCAATTTTTTTCGCATTCTCTTTTGTGTTTTCTATTTGCTTCCACACGCGTCAACTTTAATTGAATTCAAGTCCTTGGTTCTTAAAAGAAGATCAAAAGAGACAAGAAAACTTGAAACGAATTGACGGTACGGAGGTATCTGTACTCTTCCCCTCTTCCCACCTCCTTCGCCAACGAACGAGCAGACTTGAAAGCAAAACTTGACGTGTCTGAAAGGGGACTAAGGAAAGATAAAAGAATTCGTTGCGGAAATAAGTTAAACGGTTGAACGACTCCTATTTGGTTGAAATTTACGCTTGCCTTTTATCGCTTTTCAAATAGTTAGGCATACAAATTTCACTAATTGTTTTTACAATTAAACGGGTATTTGGAAATGGCCTATTTTGTAAAGCAGTTTTTCCAAACACTCTATCTTCTTCACTTGTTTGCGCGCAAGTAGACAAAAGAAAAAATGCGAACATCGTAGTTGATAGGTATGTATGTACATACGTACTGAATAAACTTTCCAAGTATTGTTTTATGTTGAAAGCATCAAATTTACTATAAACAAATCTAGAACGATTCAGACAGCCGTTGGGGACGGTTGAAATTGCACGCGCAGCCAAACAGCCAGCCAGCCACGTTGAAATGCAATTGATCTGAGCGCGTACTGAGCAAGTGTAAGACGGCGTTGTTTCTTAAGTGAATAACGAGCGTTAAAAAAAAATAAATTAAATTTCTCAACGCAGCAACACAAGTGTCGAAGAAAAATTAACCGAAACCAAGAGAAAAAAATTGAAAAGTGTTCTAATTCAATTTGTGTTCAAGTGTGCGGACAACTACGATAAGCGAAAGTGATACGATTATTTAGCAAGCGAAGTGATTTCGTCACATACATAAAGGCGTTACACTCTGTATTGCAGCAGTTATGGTTTCGAGAATGTTGTTCACAATCAATACTTATACATTACTTATGCTACTCATATCTCACACACTGCCCGCGCCAACCACGTCCTCTGCGCTGCCATACCACGACGATGACATATTCGACTTGAGCGCTACGCGTCCTGATCCGCATGCCAATCAATTGCGTCTTTGGCTGACAATTAGCGCGCGTCATCGTTACTTGGAGGTATCTTGGATGAATGCGCCTGCGCTACCCGATGACCACATATTGATCACCTCGCAGGAGCCTCACAAATTTGAGCGCGTCGAATGGACCACCGGCACACCGCTGGCCGCATTCGACAAGGCGGAGGGCAGGGGTTTTGTGCCAATCGATGGCATCACTGAGCGCAGCACATCCTCGCCGACGCGCTACTTGCTTGAACACGATGCGGATATAAATGCAAACAACACCTTCGTAAGCGGCTCTGGCTCTTTGGACGGCATGCCGACTGAAATGCCGCGCAGCGCTACAACACCCCCACGTCATTATTGGATTTCAAATAATGGCGCAAATGATATTGTAGCAGCGCTACATCCAGGCGCTGCCTCACAATGGTTCACCACCGGTGTGCCCTTTGATTATGAGCTCTCGCGCAATGTGACCGCGACAACTGGCTGCTATGGCTATTGGGCGAGTTATGTGAATGGCAGCGGTGCGATATTGAAGAGCGCTTGCTTGCGCGCCTATCCGCGTTGGATGCGTGAAATGCATACGGTGGTGGGGGGTATGCGCATGCGCGATCTATTCATACCCGGCACACATGATTCCGGTTCGTACAGACCCAATTTTGATCCACTGCTCCGTGAAACGCTCGTCACTAAATATGCATTGACGCAGGACGACGATATTCGCGGTCAATTGCTGCATGGTGCGCGCTATTTGGATATACGCGTCGGCTACTATCGCAACACACCGGATAAGTTCTATATCAATCATGGCGTTACGAGGCAGCGGCCTCTGGCGGAAATTATCCAGCAGGTGAAGGAATTTGTCTTGGAAACGAATGAGATCGTGATATTTGGTTTGAAAGAGTTTCCGGTCGGTGAGTTAATTACTAATTTAAGCTTAAAAGGCCGTTAAAATCGACCGTAGACTGAATGGCGAAAAATTTTAAATTTTATTTAAAAAATGCGAGTACAAAATTTTTAGTTTCAGTTATTTTCTGACCTATTTCTCCAAAGACAATCTTCATGCATCCGCCTACTAAGATTTTTAATATTTGCCCACCCAAGTTCTGATATATCTCCTGATTGGGCTTTTAGTATAATTCAGGCTAAGTTAGGTTAGTTTCGGTCAAAGGGGCTGTCTTCATCCAGGTTGTAATGCCGTTTTGGGTATGAAGATCGCATGATATTGACGAGCTTAAGTCTGAAAGGCAGTAGAAAAAGTTTTTATGAAGGTAGCGTTGCCTAAGCTCGCTAATTCCGGACTGTGGTAGGGAAAGGGCCCGTCGCGCGTCATTTATCCTTCGATGCAGCAACTCCGACAGAAGTAGCTTGGTGAAAGCCAATTCTGGAAAAATGCTACAGTAATCAGGCAATAAAAAAACTCCTGCGAGTAAACGATGCTTCCTAACCTCTACTCCCAAATCTGTATCTTCTTCCTATGCGTTCCTCAAGGAACCTTTTTATCCGTCTGGTAAAGCAGTTTTCCAAAGCAGAGGGCGGTGGGTGTCATGTATCTAAATGCACTGGAAGTTGCCTTAAGTGTACAGTGAATGTTTACAGGGGAGGTATTTACCACGATTTCGCGAACCTTTCTTCAACATTACGATTCCAAGTTAGTCTCCTGTTCAAGATGATACCCAGGTGCATAACTTTGTCCGCCAGTATTAGGGTGGAAGAAACTTCAATTGGCGAAGGTTCTTTTCACCTGTGAAGAGAGTCATGATTGGCTTTTGTGTTTGAGAACCTGCGGTCTGTAAGTCTAGAATTCGATTGTTTATTTTAAGGTTTAAGGTTAGGCAATTCTACTGCCCGGCGTGCAGCTGTTAAGGTAGGCATTTATTAGCCTTTGCAGAAAATGTAGCTACAATAAATTACTTCTGACGCTCTCGCTAAATGTGAAACTCTCCATGCAGGTTTCGGCAAGGGCCTCGGTGTTCATCGTCTGCTGGTCAGTTACTTACAACAACAATTTGGAGACCTTATTGTACATCCATCGGCATCATGGCGCGCAACATTGAATGATATTTGGTCTCGTCATCAAAATGTTATTTTGGCTTACGATAAGAGTGCAGTGGTAGCCGAATTTCCACACACACTTTTCGGATCGGTGGAACAACGCTGGGGCAATGTGCAAACTTGGACGAATTTGGAGAGGCATTTGCGTTCGATAAACAAATTTGATGTGTCGTAAGTAGGCCACGAATATTAAAACTTCTCTTGAGTGAGTTTAGTATTCAAAAAACAATGTGTATATCGTTACCTAAATATAGAAAGAACCTAACTCATTTTATTTCGAAATTCAGCTCTGTGCAAAAGTCGGTAGATTAACCACTAAAAACTTAGTCGATTTAAAAATCAACTACTACATCAAAAAATTTGTTCCAGTGTTTATTAAAAATCAGTGCAAGGAACAAATTGAAACTGAGGAACTTTACTTTTTTTAAAACTACGCTGCAAAGAAACAAAAAAATTTAGATAGGGCCTTTCTATATTAAGGTAACGATATGTATGTATGTATGCCAAGCAATATTTGATTTTATTTTCTGTTTTTTTTTTTCACTACAGTCGCTTATCAAGTCGCCCTGTTGCGGATATGGCTGAACTTACACCCGACACGTGGGGTGTTATACTCGATAAATACGGTGGCCTGCGAAAAATGGCCGATCAAGTCAATTGGCGTATTTCACAACTTTATCGCGACGAGTTGGGCGCAACTGCGAATATTGTGGCGGTAGATTTCGTACGTGGCACCAGTTTGATGGAGATTGCAATCGAATGGAACAAACGAAAAGTGGTTTATTTTTAGGGAGGGTATCGTGGGGGGAGAAGAAAGTGACAAAGTAGACTAATCAGTAATAGACATTTAAATAAAAAACAAGTCTAATTTCTAAGTTATTCCAACTTGTAAACAATATCTATAGCCGTAATGTTGTGATTTTAGTTGTTTGAGGTATTCAAATAGATGTCTCAAATTATGGGAGCCTATAAGATTTCAGTTAGTACTCCCATTTCAAGCATTGGTTGCGTAAAAAACAGATTGTCAAACTTCAAACAATTAACATGTAAAACATTCTGCCTACGGCCTATCATCAAGCGAAATTCATCTTACTCTCTGCAGCTTTCATTCCACAAATTTCTTACTATCTCTCTTTAGTGCTAATTTAGGTAAAATTAGTAGAGATTATATTAAAAAAAAAACAACAAATTCAAACCAAAGCATTGCACATAAATGCACATAGAATTAGAAAATTTAAATATTTGAATAAATATTTTTTTACGAACTGGGGAAATACTTCGAGATGTTTTAGTATTTACTTATTCAAAATGCATGTTTTTCAGGAATTTTTTTGTTTTTTTTTTCTTGGCTATGGTATTGACATGGAGTAGACCACGCCTTTCACCCGATAAAATATATAGTTTGGAGAGGGTTTGGACTTCACTTCTAAATTTCAATTGGATACAAAGGTACTTCATGGAGTAATCCGTTAACTGCTCATTCGCTACGAGATGAGTTCGAAACTGAGAGGACAGTCAAAATTGTTACAGCAAACTACGTGCCTTGTACCCAGTGTTGCCAGGTTGACGATTTAATCGTCATTTTGAAGTTTTTTTTTTTATTGCCGACTGGAGGATTTTTGTGATCCAATGACGATTTTTCTTTGTGTGCGAATTTGGCTTGTTCTCAACTTTAAAGATAGTTGCACAGATAACTAAAAATTGTAGTCTAAACACTTGTTGAGAGTTTCCCAATTCTGCTAACACATAATTGTCTATCAAAATTATATCATGTGGCAGCACTAATAGTAGTTATCGATAAGTAGTTTTGTTCTATATTTCATCACTATTTGTGTAGTTTTTGGCGGCGGCCGAAATGGGTTTGAAAAGGCTTTATGTAGGAGGGTTGCCACATGTTTAAAAAATGTAATTCAATTTTTTAAAGGAATTTGGTAAGTTAATAAGGTGTCAGACAAAAGAGGTTACAGAAAGTAGTAGTTTGGAAATATTTTGAAGAGGGTTCCCACCTATTTGAGAAGTCGAATTAAATTATTTTATGCCCAAGTTATATTAAATATTAAAAATGAATGTCAAATGAAAGAGATTTATGAAATATTTAGTTTGGCAAATTTAGAATGTTTTGGATTTGTTTAACGGTTGCCCCAGTTTAAAAGGTTAAATTAAAATTATTTAATAAATTACTAAACGATGGTTATCAATAGAAATGGGTTTAAAATTCTTTATCTTAGAACTGTATCTAGGAGGGTCGCCACGTATTTAAAAAATAAAATTCCCGTTTTCATGGATTATGATGTATTTCATCGAATTCTAAGTCCCCACATCATTTAAAGCAATAAAAACTTTTAGTCAGTTACGGCTTTATGCATTTCAGTGACTATATGAGTTAGGCCATTTCTATATTAAGGTAACGATAAGCAAGTTAGAGGAAATTTTAAGGTATGGGTATCAAACGAACGAGTGTTAAGAAATCTTTCAATTGAAGATTTAGATTTTTTTGGGGGTGTCAGAAGAGGGCTGCCAGCTGTTGAAAAAATTCAATTAAAATAATTTGATAAGTTAAATAGATTTTCAAAAGATAGGTACCAATTGCAATGGGTTTGAAAATAATTTATTTCTGAACTGTATTTAGGAGAGTTGCCATGTGCTTATAAAATCAAATTCAACCTCCCATATTTTAGCTACATATGTCGTCGGAACTTATACAGCAGCGAAAGATATTTTTTTAACATAGAACGATAAGTAGTCTATGCAATTGCTTTAATAAAAATATCAAAAGATTTATCAGTTTTTTGTAACTATCATTTGAATTAGTGTGACTGGTGTGACAATGAAAAGAACTCTATTTTACCCTTGTGCACTCAAAGATTAATTTTAGCCAAAACACGTAATCTGCACGAACGATGTTTTTGTGTTGTAAAATATGAATTATACGCTTTCGTTTTCGATAAAAATGAGGTTTATATAAACTTCATAGAAATATTAAAAAAATATAAAGTAATTATGCAACGTAGACAAAAATTACAACTTCTTTTGATTTTCTTAATATTTTCCAACAGATTAATGAAATGTATTCATTTAAAAAGAGGTTACTACTGAAATAGAGATAATTAGAGCAAAGAGAGAAAAATCTGAGAGCTTTTAAATAATTTTTTTCTTTATTTGTAAAAAACTTTAAAAATAATATAAGTAAATAAATTGTTGTTACATAAAACTTTCGGCAAATAAAATTGAATAAAAACATATTTAGTTGAAATACTATAACTATATAAAGAGTTTCATAAATGGCATTAAATATTTGAGAAACTTAATTTCCAGCTTTTGTGTTTATTACAGAACAATAGCGCATATTGTTTCGTTGATATGCGGTTGATACCAACAATAAATAATATATTTGCCTTATATTGATGCTTCCCTTAAACTTGAACAGGTGCACAACTCAAAAAATATTTCGGTCAAATTTTGAAAAGTACAATCAAAGTTTCGTGGTTTTCGAAATTTTCGTGGTCTTACCCTGCCTAAGGGAATAAATACGCTTAATATGATTTTAAATTTTAATTGAATACAAAATTACTTCTTAGATACTTAGGTCTCTAGCTTACAAGCTCTGCGAATCAAGGAATGTTTTCGATATACGAGTTTATTTTGTCATCATTTGTATGCTTACTTTATATTAAATTCAAGTATTTTTGCACCTTTATCTTAGAACAAGTGTTGTTATTTATGTATACAAAAAAAATATTACTTCGCTGCATATAAAAGTACAAAATTGCATTTGTAATATTCTTCTACATATTTTTGGTAAAAATTTTCTGGTAAATAGACTTATTCTAAGTAATATCGGATTTTAATGAGGCCACTTTTGTTTTTGGACATTTCGCATATCACATCTAGTTTGCCCTACATTTTCGTATAGTATACATACGTTTATATATGTATATGTATCAATATTTGTTAAAAACTAACTACAATTTCTAAAAGTATCGATTAAAATTTAATGCCGATCAATGCCCATAAACATTTTATTTAAAGTCTAAAATATTAAATTTTGTTCAATATTGTTCACTGTCATACCTGTTGGCATTTATCTATAAATAACTAGGAGTACACTATTTAGTATGAATACATACATACAATAATTTGTACTTATGTATGTATGTACATGTATACATATGAAATTCCTAATTAAAAAGAATTGCCATCATTCTAATAATTGGAGTATTCTATTCAAAAAAACATGTCATAACTATGCTTATTAATCTAACGGTTTTTCTCAAATATCAATTTTTTTCAACCAACTGTAGGTCACTAGTTTCACTTAAAAAACTACAAATAAAAACAGTTTAATAAATCACAAAACTGTAAATTACCACCTACTACATACATACATACGTTTGATATGAAATTCTTATGAAAAATGGCATAAAATAGGACGTCCATTTGGTAAGCACCCGAAAAACACCATTAACTCCCTCATTACCCCTTTGTGTCAGTAGCAGCATCATCACTTACAACCGTATTATCTGTGGCAACACTTTCATTTGTCTCCGACTTTGGCATTATTATCACCGTCTTTCCATTGCCGCGCTCCAACAGCGGCGAGCTATCCAGATTTTTGTTATTATTGGCCATTACAGCTGGAGGCGGCGGTCGAGTCTTTAATTCTTCGCCGCTGGAGAATTTCGATGTCTGTTTGCCATTTTCCACTGTTGTTGTTGGCATAGTTTTGAGATCAACAGATCGCTGACGCGCCCATAACATTTCGATGGGATACCAGCAGAGCAGAATTAGACCAACAGCGAAGCAAATGCAGGCGAATATCTGACCAGCCATTAGAATTATCGGCAACATCTGCAGATCGGCGGCAAGATCGGGTGTGATGCGTACCTTTTGTTCGAACCAGATGAGCGGGAAGAAAACGCGTGGTGCGTCTTCGTACAGGCTGTAAGGAAAACAGAGAAATTTTTAAATTATTATTTTTGTTTTTTTTTTTTTGGTAAACATCTTCTAATTTGAAAGTGGCATTATTTCACTGAGAATATCTGGAACGTGCGATAACACAGAACCACAAGCATCTATAAAAGTGCTTGATTTTGAACAGTTAATTAAATGCTGTGAATTTGACATTCAGTTGCAATTACATATGTATCGAAACAGTCACATTTACAGATGGAAATACATATCGTGTAAGAACACTTTAACCCTGCTACATAAAAGGGACTATTTTGAATCCAAATCTGAAGTCCGTTTGACCCAAACAGGTCAGGATAAAGGTAAATTCAAGGTCAAATATAGATAATCCGTGGTTGATGGACTATAACAGGTACATTTAGGTTTTTGCGATCGCTGGATTTGAATTCGTAGTCCCTTTAATCTATTCCGATCACGATTAAGGACCATTCAAGGACACCAGATTTGGATTCAGCACCCGCTGAAATCTATGGGAACCTAGACTTAGTTTTAACGGTGATTTTTTTAGTTCGACCTTGAATTGCCCTTGATCCTGACCTGAAGGGGTCAAACAGACAACGTATTTGGATTCAGCGACGTTAAAACATAAGGTACACATTAACATGCGCTGAAAATCTGCTTTTTTAGAATTTTAATCGGTAATAACAAAAATATGGTTCACTATGCTCTAAAAACAATCTGTGTGGAAGATGGAGATTATTGGTCAATATCTTGGGCTTGCCCAAGTCCATCAAATAATAATTACGGGCGATGAATAATGGACTGAATACGAGAATAAGCCACGCTAGCGATCCAGATAAAAGACCGTTGACCTTCTACAAACGTCTTCAAAGCCTGGATTGACGTTAAACAAGATTAGGTAGAGTGTTGGGTCGGAGTGGAAGGAAATTGTCCATTATGAACTACTACAACGTGGCGAAAAGATCAATTCCGTCCTCTACTGTGCGCAACTCGATCGTTTAAACAAAGCAATCAATAAAGACCGACCTAAATGGGCCAACAGAAAAGGAGTTGTGTTCCATCATGACAATGCCAGAGACCACATATATTTTTGATGACTGGAACAAATTGACGGAGCTTTGTTGGGAAGTTTAAATTCATCCACTGTATCCACAGTCCGTCTGAATTCCATTTGGTTCGGTCTCTGAAAAATTCTCTTAATTATAAAAAATCCCAGAAGTTCTTCTCCGATGAAAATATGAGTCTACCCGAAGAATCGCAAAAGGTCATAGATATTAGAAAGTACTTGATTAAAATTGTTTTTCAGTAAAGGAACTTTTCAAAGCCGAAAGTACTTAGGCTATACTACTTTTCGAACTGGGCGAAAAAAGGCTACTCACCTTACACCCTGAATGGGTTCAACGAGCATAT